TTGTATTTTCCTATTCGAAATTTGAAGTTCGAAGATTTTATCCTTTTAAAGATTTACATTTCTTCTGAAATACTGTAATGTATTTTTCATTCGAACAGAAAACGTTCATAAACCGAGGCACCACATGATGAGCAAAACGCGCTAGTGATGTTTTTTTCTGTGAGTTGAATCGATTTCTTCGATACGGAGACGCCTTTGAAGTTTTCAATTATACTCTTTTTTTCCATGAGAATATGCCCGAACTGTTTTTTTTTTTTTTCTTCTGAGGAAAAGCTTCGAACATTTAGCATAATGTAAGCACTCTCGGATGGGAAATTTCCTTACCTTTCTGTATTTCCTATGGCTTCTCGTAAATGATATGCCGCACGAACGAACTTCCCCGCGAGTTAAATGAATCGGATTGAATTTTCCAGGTTGATCCTCAGAATCCCCTGAAAATAGTCGTGTCCATGAGTCACAAGGGCGACGTGGAAAAGTACGTCAACGAGCGGATGGAGGCGAAGGCGGCGGTGGTTTACGACGCGGCCGGCGCCGGTTTCAAGACGCTCGAGGTCGTCAAGGGTCGGGCCGACGCCTATGTGCACACGACGCGGATCAAGAAGTGGGACACGTGCGCCGGCAATGCCATCATTGCGGCGTTGGGCGGCCAAATGACGACACTCCGAGGCGACGTGATCGACTACTCGAACCGGGGATCCGTCGGCATTGATGACGGGCTCCTGGCCTCGTTCCACGCTGACAAGTTCAAGGGACTGATGCGCGAATGAAAATAAGGACGATTTTTTTTTCCAAATGATGATTTACTTTTTTTTGTGGATCTCGTGGGATAATTTGTAACATTATCATCAACTATTTTTTAAGGGTCCTCTTAAAAAAATAAAATGAAAAAATCTAAAAAAAAAAACTAATGCGCGAATGAAAATAGGGACGATTTTTTTTTTCAAAATGATGATTAACTTTTTTTGTGGATCTCGAGGGATAATTTGTAACATTATCATCAATTATTGTTTTTAAGGGTGCTCTCTTCTTTGATGAAGGAATTCGCGAGTGAACTATCCTTTCGACGGGGTAGGAATTCATTCCGTTTTCAAGTAATTTAGTTTGAATGTCATTTAATTTCATTCAAATTTTTGAGCTAGTTCAAGGATAACAAGAGAAAACGTAGCCGACAGTCTGCTTTCCGTCTATTGAGGTAAACCCATTTGAGTATCTTAATTAGGAACTCGTTCCTGGCCTCGTTCCCCGTTGACACGTTCGGGGTTTTGATTCGCGAATGAAGAGTGACGTTTAACGATTATGTACCGTATTTACTGAAGTGTGAATACGCATCCCAAAAAAGTCGTATCTAGAAATCAGGGCGCGTCATATGTTTTTTGGAGGTCTAGGATTTCCATGCAAAATTATTGCTTCCACACGCCGACGCGTTTAGGGAATTGTTTCGCGAATGAAAATCGACTTCAACCTCGGATTTTACTTTTTTAAGGGATCGCGTGGAAGCATTTGCCTGATTTTCCAGGCAGTAGTTGAGAATGACGTTTATTACCGTCTGGGGTTCGCAGCAGTTGAAGATGGAAGAAGGTACATGGGGTTTAGGGTTATGGAAAGAAATACGACGGGAACAGCTGTTGGACTTTTCTGGAACCTTGCTTTGAAGCCGAATTTAAAAAAAAAAGGATTCATCTTCAGAGTGGAGTTGCGAGTTGACATTTTTCTCGCTTGAAGATGACTTCGAATTACTGCGCGTCACGAAGAATCATATGAAATTCTTTTCCTATTTTTTCCCTCGAAAGTCGGAAATTCACGGAGCCCGAAGAAAAATAACATACATCCCGAATGTGGGCGACTCGGAGAAATTAAATTTTAATCACAATATTGATTCATCAAATTCGACTCAGAAATCATGGATTAACTCAATATTGTTTGATCGACTGACGAAAAGACGGAAGGGAGAAGGAAACTCAAAACGAATCTAGAAAGTTAGCAGACGGTGTGTTGAGTGATGAGCAATCGTCGATTTTCAGGATGATACCTGATCAGCTGTTCTCCTACTGTATTTCCTTTTTTATCTTCCAGGTTTCCTCTGCTCTTAGTGGGTACATTTATTTGTCGAATTCGTCAAAATTGGGTTGGTTATTCAGCTCTGTCGCAGAAAGCTGTTGAAATCGTTTTTTTTTTGTTTTTTTTGTGAAAGGTTTGCGTACCAAACGTGATTGCCGTGGGAATGTGCATGGAAGCTGAAAATGGGGGAAGGTGTTTCCCCGTAGCTCACTGTGATGTTGGTAGCGCCTCGGCGTTCTTTTTTGTTGTTGCTGCTTCCACATGCGCACCTTCGTCTCTGTGTGTGTTCCGTAAATATTTCCCAGGTGGTCACCACGTGTTTTTTGTTTGTTGTTTAGTTTTCCCTTTTGTTATTTCTGGGTTAATGTCGTTCAGCGACGATGTGATGCGAGTTCGTTTGTGTTATTTGTTTTTGTTTTGTATGTTCTCGTGCACGGATGTTGATTTTTTGGGCTGGTTGTTGGTAAAAGTGCAGCGCGCAAACTTTTGGGGACAGAATTGAGAACACTTGGGATATCAGGGACCGTTTTTTTTATTTGTTTGGGTTCGAGAACGGAAGGCGGCATTTTAATGCATTTATCTTTCTCGATCCGTAGGTTGTGAATGTGTGTGTGACCATGGCGCGTTCTGAATCATTATCTAGTGATGATTCTCTGCGCCATCAATTTCCTTCCGATCTTTGGAAGGATTACTGTGAGTGTCTTGTTGAACCATTCCATCTTTAGTTTAATAGTTCTCAAAGTGCGGTTGTGACCGAAGAAAAAAATGGCAAACTTTGAGTACCTACGTTTTAAAAGCTGGAATCAGAAAAGACAGAATTTATTTCAAAATTTTCAAGTGAAGATCATTTGAATGATTCACTTCTAAGATTTCCCAATTGCCTGTTCTGGCTGATGACGGCATTCGAATGAAACGTACACATCTGAATACAGTAGAATTTTGAAAATTGGAAGAAACTTATTTGAAATTGCTGCAATAAATGTTTCAAGTTTTCTCGAAGTAGGGACGAACAGGTTGAAGCTAGTTGTTATATTTGAATGAAAATTTTGAAGTGACAAACATCCGTTTTCTTAAAATACTGCACATGACTTCGTCCATCGTTCGAAAAGTCGCAACTTGTTGTTTTGTTTCTTGCTCATTGGCGCACGGGGTCTTTTTATTATTTCTCTTGTAAGAGAAGGAATAACTAATAACGTATTTTAAATTCATTTTCTCGGACATTATCGTCTCTGAATACTTTTTCCGAATGTGATATTTGTTTCCTGTGTGTATTTGCAGTGTTTAATCTCCAGTCACAAGCTCCGCTCCCGCTGCCAATTTATTCGCGGAGAGAAATCGTAGGCAGACCGAAACCTATGCAATATGGCAGAGAGTTTCATGGCTCAATCGGACGCGACGAAGCGGAAATGTTGCTGAAAAACAAGGAAGGAGCTTATTTGGTAAGGGAAAGTCAATCGGCAGTTGGATCATATGCTTTGAGCATGTGGTGAGTCCAATTTATCAATTTTCCTGTATTATTATTTTAAAGTCATCTGTATGATTTCTTCTAATTATGATTCATTGCGACTTTTCTTTGGACGAAATAAACAAGTATCAGAATGTACACTGCCGGATATGAGACTCTTTTTTGAAGGGACTTATTTTTGTGTTGGGGATATCTTTTTCGATGTCATATCCTAATTTTTAAAGGTTTTTTTTCAATTATTGGCTGTAACGTTTTTGTTCAGAATTTTCCGAAATGATATAATCTTTGTTGCCATTGTAAATCTTGATTCTTACCCTGTACAAAATACGTTTTTAGTGTCGGAAAAATTGGATATACAGAGCGTGTGAAATACGTGACTCGTTATGATTTGGATGTCTGAGCATATCGAATAACTTGAGCAAAGCATTGCTTGACGTTTTTTTGTCCTAAAAAGTGTTGAAATTCGATTTGAATTCAGAGAGACGACGTGTTGAAAATTCAATTGGTTGTTCTAAATGCGGACCGAAGCTGCGATCTTGTGCTTTTGTTTGAAACGATGGATTCACTTTGATTTTGAGATGAATCGGACTATTCGAGAATCCCTTCCTAGTTTTCAAAAATATGTTTTCACTTTTTTTATTTCATTTCGCAGGGTGAATGGTGCAATCAAGCACTACATGCTATATTACGACGGGAAGTCTCACTTTTTACGAGAAGACAAGAAATACGACACCTTACGGGATCTTGTAGCAGATGGTTTGATCTTCATGTTTTTAGAAGCTCGAGCTTCAGATTACATTGAACGGATGTTTCGTGAAGCTTCATACGCTTCCAGTCCGTTTGTGACCCTGCAGGCCAAAAAGCGCGAGTTTTCGCTGCGAAGAACTCTGAAGAATCACAAAGTCGTCGACTGGGTTGGTTTATTATTTTTTTTATTCTTATAGATTCGTTTAGATTTTTGTGAGAATTATTTAAAAACCTGTTACAAGTTGATCATTCTTCGGGTGACTTGAATTTCATGGACGAAGTACAGTTGGTTGCGCAATACTAGGTTGAAGAGGAAATTGCGACTCTCAAATGACTCCTTCATTCATTCTTATTTGTGGTTTACTCGTAAAATCGGGATTTTTTGCCATTTCTGCAATAAAAAATTGTCCGCGAAGACCGCTCCGATAATTTCATCTTTTGTTGTCAAGAGAATACTGTAGTTCCTAAGTCATCAGAGATTTTGCTTGTCATCACATGTAAAATTGTCAGTGCGGCCTGTATAAAGGCATCTTGAGTGTGTACAATATGAATCGTAGTAGAGTTTTCATTGCAGTTTTTTCCATGGAAACAAGTGAACTGCAGATGAGGATATTTGAGATTCGAAATCCGTAGTGCTGCTTTATTTTTCCTCTGACTAAAAAAATCCTATACATTGGTTTTTTCTGATTATATATATTTTTTTCTTTTTGCAGCGACGGTCGTCGGAGGTTGACATCCAGTCGTATGAAAAGCAGCATACTTTCCAGACGCAAACATTCCGTCGGTTCCACTGGTGTGACCTCTGTGGGAACTTTTTGTGGGGCGTCGTTGCGCAGGGTGTCAAATGCGGCGATTGCGACTTTGTGGCGCACGAACGGTGTTCCAAGCGAGTGCCGGCGACTTGTTCGCCGGAAATGAAACATTTGCGCGGCGTCTATGGCGCCGATCTCACCGGCGTCTGCAAGGCCATGAACCGTTGTCCGCCGTTTGTCGTTGATCTGTGCATTGAGGAGATTGAAGCGAGAGGCTTGCACATTGAGGGTCTGTACCGAGTGTCGCCGTCCAGTGATGAGCTGGACACCCTGCGGTTCACTTTGGACCAAGGCAAGTGTCTCTGGATGATTTTTGTTCCGTTTGAAGAAAGTGGAATACCGTATTCACTTGAGAAAGACATGTACCTTAGTTTTTGAAGGTAAAAATCTGGGAAAAATCTGATCCCCGCTTAAAACGCGCAACTTAGTTTTCATTTTTCAGTTACCAAAATTTTATCAAAATTGCGCGTGAGTAGTGCGATGGTATTGCATTGAAAAATGAAAGGGTTGGATCGGGTTCCGGGTGAAATTTTCACAAAATTTTTATTAGATTTGGTTTTTTTACAAATTACTTTAGTTCACCAAGCAATTTACTTTTAAATTCTTCCAACTACGATTAAAACTTTTTCTGGGTGTAAAAATTGCTTTGAATAATTCGGCTTGATGATTTCCTCAGTGCGGAATAACGTTTTATTGACGGCCGGCCCACTTTCTTTCTTGCCAGTTGGAATCATTCTTTTCGCATATTTCGTATAGATATGGAAGCGACCAACCTGGCCATTTATCCGGATATTCACGTGATTTGTGGAGTGCTGAAATTGTTCTTCCGACTGCTGCCAATCCCTCTGATTCCTTATGATTCTTACCGAGACGTTATTGCGAGCGTCCGTGAGTAAATTTTGTTGTTGTTGAATATTTTCTTCTGTCCGACTGGGATTCATCTGTGATATTTTTCTATTCAGAAAATAACATCACCGAAAAGGCAAAGCTTAAATCGCTGAAGACGGCCATTCAGAACATTCCTCCTGCTCATTATTCTACTCTCAAGGCTTTCATGGTTCATCTGGCAAGGTATGTTTGCTTCTTGGAGCATGTTTAATGCTTTTTTTCTGTTGGCCAACCGTGCACTAATTCATGGAAATCTCGAGAGCTCATCTCCTCTCCAAACTAAAAAGATTTCTGCCATTATCATCATTCAATCATCGTCAAAGTCTTTTGTGTGTGAGCATTTGTTTCATCAATCAATTATCTGTGTGAAGAGTTTACTGAGTTGTTGCTTAATGTATTTTTTTGAAATACATCTTGAACTTTAAATCAGGAATCCTTAAGGGATTCCTGGCCTTGTCCCAGGATGATTGCTGTGTTTTATTTCTTATCTTATTGCTCTACTAAAAGATCCATCCACACCTTCACTTCTAATGTTGAGACAACCTTATTTTCCCAAGAGTTTTTAAGTGGACTTGAGAAAAATTTGACATAGAGAGGTATTTTACTTAGGGAGGTTGGAGTTATGAAGTATTAGTCAACTGTATCAGTCCTAGTCACGATGTAGCAGAAAGGCAATTATGTCTTATGCTGTCCGGTCGTCATCATCTCGAGAAATGCCAACGCCTAATTTTTATATATTCGTGTATATTTTTTCCAGAGTTGCCGCAAGATCTCAAGTGAACCGGATGACAGCGGAAAACCTGGCGCTGATCCTGGCGCCGTCGTTGCTCCGGTCGCCGCACATCTCACAGCCGCCTTCTCCGTGTGCCAAACGCGGCTCAGACGCCGCCAAAGACGTCCCGACGTTCCTCAGCAACCCGATGGAGACGATCCCATTTGAGCGGTCTGTGATAGAGTTGCTCATCGTTTACCAACGTGAAATGTTCGATGCCTGAGTCGCACTCAATTATGCGACTTGATCTTGTTCCTTTTTTTTTCACGCTTGTCTTCACATTTGCTACGCGGTTAAAAAAAAAACCGAACTTTTTCGAAAAGTTTTTTTTTNTACGAATTCTTGCTTCTTTCTGGTCAATTTTGCTCTCTTTAATAGGAAAACCGTTGGAGGAGAAAAGGCGCTGCTGCTTGGAGGGAAGCATGTCATCTTTGGGTCATGAAATGGTAAGAAAACGGTTAATCTTGGTCCTGAGAAACTTTTCAAAATAAACAGATTTTCAAGTACAGTATAGTGGGTCCGTTCTCAACCAAAGACGCGCATTTCAAATTTTTGTAGTGGCGGAAAAATTAATTGCACCATCTTGAAAACACAGTTACAAAGAAATGTGCGACATCTATACTCACATGAGGAAACTGTAACAAAGAGACAATACTGGGAAACTGTACTGTACTGTATTTCACTGTTGTTCATGCGCATAAATGAATACTTTATATACTGTAGGTAAATTCTAGTCCTCATTCTTTTGTACAAATAAACCATATTTCAATACCAGTGCTTTGGTGGACTTTCTAAAATAATTTTGTTGACAGTTCTTACAGGGTTCTTTCCCTGTGTTATAGGGGTTCTGTACATTTTAGAGAACCTCTAACACTAAACACAATTCAATGTATTTTTAGAGAGAAGCATGTACAGTGTGTATTTAAAAGCTGATGAAGAATAATACTTATAATAGCTAATTTATTCAAATACTATCTGAAATTACATTTTCAACGAATTCTAATGCCAAATTTTGATATACTTGAAAAAATCGTAGTCCAACCAGTTTTTTTCTGGTCCCATCAATTTATTTCAGACTGCAAAGCAAGTCCATGTGAATTAAAAAGTTTGCATTAGAATTCTCTTGAAAATGTATTTGCAAATAGTATTTGAAGAAATAAGCTATTATTCTTCATCAACTTTTAAATACGTATTGTTCAAACTTCTCTCTAAAAAAAAATGCATCCAAGTGTGCATGCGAGAAAGGGAAATCGTATTCTTTGGTGAGCAGGTATTTCAAGCGGTGTTCGAACAAAAGTTGAGCAGTAATTGAATTAAACCTTATACGCAATAAATTTGAAAATTTTGATTCATTCTACAGGTCCGGTGAAAGTGCCATTGTTGTAAACATGTTGGAAAATTCATTCCAGAAATTTCCACTACGATAGATGGGAATTTCCCAAGTTGAAAAATTCACCGATTTTTAAATTAAAACTTCAATGAAACAAGTTTCCCTTTGAATTTGGAAAAGTTGCCTTTTTTATCACCAGCACTTGAATGTTACCCAAACAAATGAAAAGCGATTTGATAAGCTAAGTAAACATTTCAGTTTCCGAAGTAATCGTATCAAAGATTCTAAATCACTAACTCTCTTGTAACGCCAAGAAAATTTGGATACGCTTTGCCAAGTTGAATATATATACTGGTTTCAGTCAAGTGTTGCATTTTCCTTCATTATATAACAAACTCGTGAAGTTTTACTCGCTCAAAAGCTAATGAAATCCATAATTCTAGCTGTGTTTGTAAGCAAAAACTAAAAATCAGCTCTGTTCCAATGAATGCGTCAATGATTTTTGGGAAAAGAAATATATCGTTTTTGTTGCCCGCGGACCGTCTTTATTTGAAATTCGGACTGCTTCAAAAATTGAATGGTGGCTCTTTGTTAGAGTAAATCAGTATATAGAGGAAATAAGGTGAACACTGAAAGTTTGGAACGATTTTCAGTGGTATTGTTGTACTGTACTTCCTGCTGAAAAATCGATTTTTTTCAATTCGTTGCCTTTTCAAACAAGCACTGCATGAATTATTTCTTGGCAAGATTTAAGGTCTAAATGCGGGCCAGAGAAAAGAAATCGAAATGAAATGGCTAAATTTTCTCCAAGTTCTCTTACACCGTTTTAACTCACTTTCACGGCACAGGTAAAATTCCGGTATAAAGAATATACCGATTTATCATTATCAACTTTTTCGAAATGATCTGGGGGAATGGATAATGAATAGCTTCAAAATATCTTGTTACAAGAATGTTTCTAGATTCAGTACAACAAATTATAATATGGTTTGGGATTTTTCCTGTACTCATAAAAATTCTTGAAATTTTAGAATTTAGGTCCAAATTCAAAAAGTAACTAATTTGTCAAAAAGTTCAAGGATTAGTAAAAGAATCACTGAAAATTAATTTATAGATTTAATCAATGCAGATGGTATACCTTTCAATTTGACCTTAATCCATTGCCAAACTAGGGTCAAATTGCAAATCAGTCAAATTGCAAGACACTCCGTAGAATTCAAAAATATAAGTACAAAAATCCAAAAAAGCGGCCAAAGCAGGTTGAATTGCAGGGCAAGGGTCAAATTGAAAGTCAACCTCCCTGAACATTTGACTCCTGAATTGTGGGAGGTTGAATTG